GTGATTTTTGTAAAATTTATTTAAAATCAAAACAACACTGATTCAAAATGAATACGACATGTGGAGGGAGTGAAATAAAAGCAGAATGAGGGGCAAAACATTTAAACCATCAATCATGTGTCGTCACAGATGCCGCCTTCTGAACTGTGAGTTGATTAGCCAGATGGTCTTTGTCCTCTTTAGCCCAAATGATTCAGTGTCCATGATTTCAAAATGTTAAGTTCATCAGAGCATAAAGTTGTCTTTCTCTCGGTTTCTGTCCTCATCAGATAAACCTGCCCCTGCATTCTTCTCTTAATGGTTTTTAAGTTGTTTATGCCGATCATTACAAACTGTGCTCCTGAACCCATACAATGGCTTTCTCTCTTCAATATCTCTGTTATGAAAGCAAAGCTTTACAAATATGTCTGAGGATCACGGCCATGTGATATTAGTTTCTAAGTCTGCACATTGCAGAAAGCGTATTTCTTCCTAGATTAAGGGAGACTTTCCATGTATCATCAGTCAGAAACTAGTAAAATGTTCAGTATTTAAACAAAACATAAATGTTTGTCCTTCACTGCAAGAGAAGCAAGGCAGGACCCGTGAGGTCAGGGGTCAGAGGGAATTTATTGTTGCTTTTTGAAACAATATTAAATGTTAATGTTACTTTCAGTAATAGAATTATAAAAAACATTTTAAATACTATGTTATCTTAACTTGTTCTGAAAATGCCACAGCTTTAAAAAGTAACTGACTTTGCAGTATGATCTTGAAATTGGGTCTTTGTGTCTTTAAGAAGCTCCTTCTCTTCACCTAAATCTATCAGGCATATGATAAGTCTCATTTCTACAACAATTATTAACAATTCTTAATGTCTCAAACCATTTTTACCTGAAAATACATATTTGCTGTGAGATGCTTCATCAAGAACATAACTTCCACCATTAGATTGGAAGATGTAAGAACTTCAAAAGCATATTTATATAAATCAGTTAATTAAATAAATACTCATGTTGATTTTGACTACTTTGGCTTAAGTACTGAACCACACTCTCTATTAATTCTGCAGGGCATCTGTGAACTTCAGCTGCTTTTTTATTGATGCACTTATTTTCAATCCAGTCCTCTCAGGGAATGCATGTTTCAAAAAAACATGTAATTGTGGTATGACTGACAAACAACGCAATGACAATATTGATTGAGATGTGACTCACACTTCCATTGTTCCTCTTTCTTTTCCACCGTCACATTGTCTGTGCCACTGTGCAGCACAATTTTACCTTTTATTGCCAAGGTCCAAGTCCTTCTATACGTCTGTTTGTTCACGTCAAAATCACAACCATCCACAGGAATGAACCCGAATCAAGAGGCATCAAAGGGATTTTACAGCTTAGCAAAGAGCATCATTTTACATTACATTACAATCCGGACGCTGGTGTCCTCATTACATCTTCAGTGTTTTAATTGTTTTGAAGACATGGAAAAAATACTTTTCTCAGGGAGTTACATCCATGGATGGATATGTAGTCCACTTCAGTGGACTACATGCACCTGAGCACTCAACCCAAATAGTAGGAACTTAATGTAAAGCCTTATTTAGTCATGTTGTATGGTTGGCTTAATGATGAGGCCTGAATAAAAACGCAATGTTTCAGATATCTCCACTGTCAAGAACAAAATTTTGAGTCTTCATATTTCTTCTTGGGTGCAAGACTGGCATTGCCAAGTAATTATACTAATGTAACTTTATTTTTTTTTATCAATGACAGCCGATGTGTTAGCTTGAATCTGTTTGTAGTCATGGTGTTGCAATTGATAAAAAAGTACAGAAATATTCAATTTCAGAATCTTGTTCTGCTAAATCATCCGGTATATGAGGAAAACAGTTATCCCTCAGGTTTATGAACAGAAGGTCTTTTAAAAGGGGGGTATGATGTATTTTCCAGGCATATAGTGACATTTTATCCCACAATCAAGTAACTTCAGTTGTTATAAAAAGGCTGTACAGTACATATCAAAAACAATCAAGCAAACCAGTTTTGCTCCCTTTATATTGGACTCTGTCTCTTAAAGAAGCTTCTCCCCCTATTGCCAGTCAGTGTTAACTACTGCTGCCGCTAGTTTGGAGGAGCTGAGTGGGGAAGGCGTGGAAAGGTATGCTGTGAAGAGGAAGTGCAACAGGAAACTGCAACATTGCAGAGGAGCTTTCGGTAAATAGGTGGTGCTTTGCGGCAGGTATATACTCCAGGTATATTTATGAGGAGAAAATTACATAATAACACAATATAAAGCTCAAAAGCTAGATTTTGGACAATATCCTACAAATAAAATGATAGAAAACACATGTCTATTTAATTGGCAGCCAGTGTCCAAATAAAAACTTCAAAAGAGAATAAAAAAACTTGTCTTAATACTGTATGGGAACATAAAAATGCCAGAAAAGTGTGAACACTCTGATGCTAAAGCTGAAAATACAAAATGCTGATTGAAAAATATAATTTCAAAGTCTTGTAGTCTAATTACCCCGTCTTCTGGTTTTATTTTCTACTTTTAAAAATCCATCAAATCAATGAATCATTGACAAATGCAAAAATAAATGAACAGCTGCATGATGCAGACATTAAAGCAGGTTCGTTTCCTGCCTTTGAGCTTGTTGTTGATGCGCCGCCGCCACCGGCGGAGCACAGTGCTCCTCTGCATTGACGAGTGGAAACAATGTCGGCAGGTGTGCATTTGATCAAACTGAATGACATTTACCCAGGTACCCTTGAGACTGAGTAAGCACCATAAAGACCTTTTGTTGTCTCACCTCTGACTAAAAAAAACAAAAACAATCTCAAACGCTGAGTGAATGAGAGCTGTGTAACTCGGCGTACAGTGGGATCCCAGTGAATGGCGATGTATTCCAGATGATGTTTGTGTGTTTTGCCCCACTGGGCTCGGCTCTTGCATCCGTCTGTCCCCAGCGGCTGACTCCAAAACACTACTGGACCTTTTGTTGCTTTTGTCTGTCTTTTTCTTTTTGTTCTAAGCATCATTTGCCTCCTATTTCTTTTGTTTTTTCCATTCTTCACTCATCTCTACCCTCACCTCTCTCTAATTAACACCTACTGCAGGCTCTATCTGCCGTGGTAAACCCCCAGGGACGGAGCTGGAAAAGGAGACGGTGAGAAGGAAACAAATACAATGAGACTTCAGAGAAATCAACTGAGAAAGTGAGAAGTGGGAAGCAATCGGATTCAGAGATGTGGTTCAAAAGTATAAACTAAACCAGTTTACTATGCTGTGAAAAAGTATTTTTCCTTTTAAAGATTTTAGGTTTTTACACATTTAAAATCAAAGAAATTATTGCATCAAAGACGACCATAATTCACACAGAGTGTCGTTTTCAAACGACACTCTGGAATAAATAAATGAAGACAAGTCTCACATCCATGAGACACAACCATGTTTCGAGTCTCGAGTCTTTTGGAAAGCAGGTTTCAGAGAGAAACCTTTTGGAACACCCACCACGAAGGTGAGAAGTACTCCACAGGTCTGAAAGTGCACAAGTGCAGAAAACACATCTGCAGGGTTTATTTTATGTATACATGGGCCAATAACAAAAATGCGGATAACGTCTATGAAAATAACCTGGGCTTCTATTACACCTCAGCAGAACCAGAGGTTCCATGTTACTCTGCACTGATGCAGTAATTCATGCAGAAGGAGCCCCAAAACAAGCAGTGAGTGAATAGATACACTTCTCAGAAATCTGACATTTCTAATGTTGCTCCAAATTAACCAATTCTGCAAAGAGTGGGCCAAAATTCATCTGAGGCGATGTTAAAGACTGATTGTAATGAGGGTGACACAACCAGTTATTTGGTTTAAGGAGACTTACTTTTTCTCTTAAACTTAGACTGATCTGACAGCTGATACATAAAATAACTGTTTGAAAACTGCCCTGCGTTTTTATTATGGTTATTTTTGCCAAATACTAAAATTTGGCCAGTGATCTGAAACGTCTGACTGTGTAATAAAACAAACAAAACGAAACTGTGAGAGGCCAGCACTGTATATTGACCTTAATGCAGTAGACAGATGAATACACATAATCAACTGCTCTCCATAAACCATCTGTCTTTGCAAATCCACCAGAGACCAGAGGACAACATCAAACGCTGCCGGAGATCTCGAGGTACTTCACTGCTTGCCTGCGTGACATAATGGGAGATGAGAGGGCTGGCCGTTCTGATGCGTCGAGCTGGTTGTTAGGAGTCAGGGTGAAGCCTTAGTGTGCATGAAGACACTGAGGACTTCAAGCAAAGCCACTGTCATACACTGATAAATGAACATAGAGAGGCAGGCACGCTGATGTGTCCTAAATAGTTCAGCATGGCGGCTGAGAACACAGAAACTAATTGGAAGGGTAAAAATGGCAGCATAGTGGAGCGAGCAGGTGGGTCTGAGAGGCTGAAGCTGTTTGAGTGAACAAAGGAAAAGAAAACAACCACAGGCAAATGCTCACTCCTCAAATTTGCAAACCCTAACGTACACACACACACACACACATGCAGGCTGTATAAATGGTGTGTGTGTCCTTAGCGAATGCAGCTACTGCATTAGTAGCGTAGATTTATTACAAATATTGATTAACCACGGACGACTAAACATCACACTTGCGTTGCAAAGCACTGAGTCAACAATACGTAGAAAAAATGACTGTTTATATCCGCAGCACTCACACTACAGTAAATTATGAACTATTGACTTTGCACCTGTGTTCACCAACATGGAGGGAGAAAACGGCAGATAGGCGCACGCTGAGCAGCATGCAAAGGCACCATGAACACCTGCCACAACAAAGACCTGCCTGTTACCAAACACAAAGAAAAATTCACACCAAAACACCCACTACTGGAGCCACCGAATTAAGAGGTTTATTCTTGAAATAAATCCTTTGGCCATGATTTATGGTGGTATCTTTGCGTTCAGTTCATGCTAGACGATGAACAGACAGACAGGTTGGTACTCACCTCCACCTCCTCCAAGCAGACTCTTATTGGCTGAAAGAGAGAAGAAAAGAGCTTTTCAACATGACTGATCCATGCAGAGTCTAATGGGTTTAACCTTTTGACACTGATTTTGATATAAACCATCAAAAACATATTCAGATTAGAGGATTTGTTGCTAATGCTTCTGTCTGCAGCTTGTTGTTGGATCCATCTTATCCCAAAACTGTAAGAAAAATGGGCACATAACCTAATTATTTCCTTTATTTTCCTCAAAAATACCCACTTACATTGAAAACCCATCAAACATATTGCATCTCTGCTTTTTAATAAAAAAGAAAAAATCCTTTTCTTATCGTCTGAAAGGAAATTCACAGATTAACAGCAGCAAAAGCATAATCAAGAGAAGCACACACATGCACACATTAAGAAACAATACAGTATCAAAACACCCTCTGAAGTAAACAAAAAAAAGTAATATGAAGTGAAACCCTGCTGGAATAAAGTGTCCTTGTTCAAACTTTTTAACTTTTTCAAATAACCTTGGCGTTTTTAGATGCTTCCAATATTTTCGTTTTTCAAACAGAAATTAAATTAAGCCACAAAAGAAAAACAGGGTCAAACTTATTAGTCCTCTTAATGCTTCCTGCCCTTTCTGGAAGTTTATTTTGCTGGATAACAGCCTGCAGGCACTGGTTGTAGTTTTCAACAAGCTTCTAACAACCCAGAGGGATCCCAGATTGTTCTTCGGCCAAATTATTTGACAACCTTCTGGCATGAACCTTCATCTTCACTTCAGCCCAGATTTGGGTATAGAGCTTCAAGTGAGTCAAAACTTTATTGTTCTGGAGGTTCTCTGGACTGTCTATGAACTCCTTGGCTTCAAGTTCTTGCCTCATTTGTTCTGTGCGGATCTGTTTAAGTTTTATGGAAACCATTTTTTTTATCCTGTGCCCTCTTGGCAAATAAGTCTAAGCCAAAATGTTTCCTGTGCTTGAGCCCCTCTCCAAAAAAGAAACAGTTTTATCTTTATGAGCTTTGGGCATCACAATGCTCAAATCAATGTTCAATAAAAAATTTCAGTTGAAGAATTGTAATCAATAACAATTAATCGTATTTTAATTTCAAACTATATGAAATATGCAACATTTTCAATTCAAAAACCCTTTTTGCTGCTAAATTGTTGTGCCTGCTTGCAGCATGTTTTGCATTTTAGGGTTGAATAGCTTTGGTGATAAGCTAACTCCTGTTTGCACAAGTGACACAGAACAAAAGTGATTCCAGCATCACATCAGATCAACTTTTGATGCAGAAGTTAATCCCCAGTGGGACAGGATAAGTGGTTTCATTGTCCATTACCGTTTGTGGATGTTGCCTGTGTGTCAGATTTACAGGTGAACCAGAAACGCCCAAAGGCAAAAACAAAAAATGTGATTAATTGAGTTAAAATTTTAACGCGTCATTTAATGAATTATTTATGTACAACAAGGCAAGAAAACAAACAAACCTGAACCACAATGAATCACATATAGATTAAACCTTTAGACACATTTTGTTCTTGTTCACTTGAACCCAAATAAAAACCTAAAACTAACTCTGCTTAAAATTGAGACGTTTTGTGTTTTAGCAACATTAAGTTAATTCAAAAGTATATCTTTTGCACCTTATTTAACCACAAATAATATGCTTTCATGGCCAAATATTAGTACTGGACAGAAACAAAAGCGGGGGTCATTTTGCAGTTGTTTAAAAACAATTACAAGAGGTTTAAAATCCTGTCAAGGTACTGAATTTATCAATGACAGCAGCAACCCCTTTTCTTTTTAATTTTCTGTATTATTGATCAGAGAAAACTCATAATAGCATCATTTGGGGGCACATTTATTTTGTTTAATGATTAACAGTATTTGGAAAAATATTCCTGAAACGATGCATCTGATGGCAGAAGTTCAAGCTCAGTTTGATTTTTAGTATTTATTCTAAAATGAAAGGGAAGAGGGGAAGAGGCTCATGCTGCCATGCTGGAAATATTAACATGACCCAAGGATGCATAGTCATGAGCGCACTTTAACGGCACAGTTCTTGTTACCGACAGACAGATAGGACATGCGTCATGTTGCTTTGGCTGATGCTGCCCTATTGATTTGGTTTGTCACAGAATGTACCAGAAAATAAGTGCAGCTGGTCACAGAGTTGAAAAGAGGAAGATGCAGCTCTTACATAATCATGTCAGCATGTTTTCTTGTTTTATATGAAAGAACATTAACCTGGTATACTTCATGCTTATTTGTTCTGACTGTTTTTTTGTTTGTTTTTTAAATAAACTTGGACCTTTACTGTGTTCAGGTTAGTTTATGTTTACACCTTCATCCTGAAATTTTCCTGTATTACTTGTGTTTACACATCACAGTCAAATGTTTGCTCTATCGATAAATCAATAAGTGCTCGTTTCAGCTTACAGAATGATAGTTCAGGAAATTTGAGTATTACACATTATTAAGAAATTTTTATATTATCCTCAAGCCTTTGTATTTTTTTTTAATGACAGCAGCCTGAAATATTTTTTTTTAATTTGTCACAGAACTACAAACTTCAGTAATTTTTTATTTGAATTTTATCTGATAAATCAATGCAAAGTTCTACACGTTTATTCGTCTCTTCCTGCTTTGTACATCTAGACAATAAACTGAGACAATTTAAAATGCGCTTAAGTCCAGTCAGAAATGTCAAAAATGTTTTAATATATAGGACAAATTGTAAATGTCTTCCAAATATTTTATCCAAGCTATCTTACTCCCAGCATTTGGTTTTGAAACAGTAACTATGATTTCATAAACTGCAGCTCTACAAACATGCAATTATTTTATTCTTCTCTAGTGCCAAACCCAACTAAATCTTTTGTCTATGATATCCAAATATATAAAATTAGTCCAAAATTTTACATTCAGGAAGAAAAAATGTGAAGCTTTTGTACCAGATTTATACAACTGAATCCCATGTTTATCACAGGTCTGTAACATGTTTCAGGATTTCTCATCAGGATTAGCGCTCATCGCTCCAATCTCTTTCACAACTCTCTGTAGCACCAGTTTATAGCACGTCGCCGAGTTAATTTTATACATGTGCCATTTCTGGTGCCACCACCCTGATTTGATAAGTAGAATAAGAACCAGCAGGTTCTAAATCTTATCAAGGAGAAGAGAGAGGCACAGCGCATTATTAGAGGCTAATTCCACTGCCCACCTAGCTAATGAATAAACTCATGCTGAGTCTCCAGTCCGAAGGATTACAAACAATTCAGTGGGAAGAAACAGAGACAAAATGGCTTGATTTTCTTTTTAGTCATGGAAGTCCCTCTTCACACAGCTTTTCTTACAAATAACAAAAAGGTGACTGCAGCTTGAACATAATAACATAATGAGCTTGTTTAACAGACTGAATTAATGCTTGTAGCTTAGCTGGCCAGCGTGTCTCCAATCATTACCCTTCCCTACTTGTATCATGTCACTGCACAGCTTTAAAAGTGTAAACTGCTGGCAGGGTGATAAGCCTGGCTGTGGCTGCTTTCAACATATGCGATACCCAAGTGTTTTCTCACACGCATAACCAAAAAAACGTGTGGAGTCAGCAACAGTAGCCCATGGACAGCTGCAGTGCCGTCAGTTAACCCAAACCTAACCAAAAACTCAGAAAAATCATGTTTTTCTGGGGGTGGCTCCTGGTGTTTTTGCATCACATCCACACTGATGTGACCATGTTAGCATAATCTGATAAGCACATAATCTCACTGCGAGAGGCGGTTAGAGAGATGTGTCAGAAAACACAGGGGACATCCCTCGTTTTAGATACCACTTGCCAGCAGGCTCTGAGCCAGCTGAGACTGTGCGTTGTATCAGGAAACTTGTTTTTAAGGCAGGAGGAAGAGGAGCTAATTCTACACGTGTCTGAAGATTATTCAAACATCAAGCTGTGCTGCCTCATTACCAGTAAATACCTCGTTTTCTGCCTTAAAACTTATTTTAATTCTTAATGTGGGCTGCAGCCTGATGTTTCATCTACGAACGATAAAAATCTCAACACTTGTTTGAAATATGCAGCAATAATGTTGCACAACTAGTATTGCAAGCGAGAAAGAATAAAAATGCATTACTTTACAGCTAAAAAGGCTGAAAATTGCAGATTTTACAATCAGAAATGTGAATTTGTGAGGTGAACATCATCACTGTGTTGTGTTTACAACCAAAGTCAACATTATATTTACCAAACATTACACCAAAGTCAAGGTTGCATCTGAGCAAGAATAACACTATGCTGCACTGTCCCAGGTGTTAAACACCATTATACAACCATAACAGGTATTTTAACTTAATTAAATTTCTACAGGGAAATTGTTTAACGAGATCATTTGGCTCATAAGGAGCCCAGATGTAATGTAGAGCATTAGGAAAACGAAGTACACCTACAGAGGTAATAACCTAAGGTACTCATTTTCTGTCTCTCACCAGGTTGTGGATATTTTCGGGCCCATTTTGCTTTGCAGCAGTGTTTGAGTTCATTGAGTTTTTCAGACAATCATTTCTGCACTGCTTTCCTTCAGTTCCCACAACAACATTTTTATCTTTTCAGGCACTCTGCTGTTGATTTACTGTGAGTTTTTGGGATCTTTGTAATGTCTAAGCATATAAAATCATCTTTTGACCAAACTTTACTTGACTGATGGACTCATATTTGACTCTGGAATACTTGTTTCAACCACGACCGAATGGCTGTGAAATGTTTGTGCTGATTTGTTGTGTTTGGTTTGAAATAAATATTAAAGGTTAGAGCTCTACTGAAATGTCATATGTCTAAATGATGTTCTTTCTCTCATTCTTATCCAAACAGTGTCACATTTGACATTGTGCTATCACACGCCTGTATGCATCAAAGTAGACCATTGCCGAATGTCCTGAATTTACAGAAATGCTTACACTGATGATATTTAATTAGAACCACCTGGCCTCTTCTTTCCTCCCATGAAAGCAGCAAGAGTATACTTAATTTGCCCGATGAGT